CCCCCCCCCCACAGGAGCCATATGGGCGTGTGCGTGTTTGCATGCAACATGTGGTTTCTTTGGTGCGATCTCAACGCTCTGGTCATCTTTTACTGAGTTAGGGTCGGATCCCACTACCCTAGATTATTCATTTTTCACCCTTGATTACCAAGATCAACGGTCAGAAATGAACATTAGGGGTTAGTGGGATCTGACCGTTAACCAGCTTCTGGTTAACTGGCTTGTTAACTTAACTGGCTTGTTAACTGGCTAGTTAACCACGACATGAACCGCTTGGTTCCGTCGAGCCTTTGGGCGGCGCCACGTGTTGGTGGGTAGGCAATTTTGGTTGACAACTTGGGAAAAACGACGAGAAGTAGGAAACGGTCTTAGTCCGATTTTATCGTGAATAGAACGCGGGGTTATTTTGCTGCATCTGGACCGAAAGTTGTGCCAAATACAGCTATAATGACCGGGCGTTCTATTCGGGTGAAGACGGGTAGTCCGTCAGGAGGTTGTAAGTTCGTCCCTCAATTTTCGGAGGAATCCCTCTTTGTATTCCGTTCCAAAAAACCTGGTGGAGCATCTTGTGGAGCTTTCGGAGACCTGCTCCGAAGTGGAAGGAGCCAGGGGCATCAAATGATTCTTCACAAGGACAGAGAAGGGGAGGAAATAGGGCTGCTCGATGGGTACCGGCTAGGGAGGTCTCTTATCAGATGCGCTTGACGTCGGGTAGTTTAGGCTGCCTGATGGGTACTGGCGGATGAGAATGAACTCTGACACAATTGACGTTGGGTAGTGCTAGTTCACCGCCTTGAGGATGGAGACTGGAATTCTTGTGGGGGCAAAGAATTTCAAGGTGATGATGGTGCTCGGCCCCCGCGGAGATGAGGTTCTTTGAAGCTCTTCACGAGGACGGAGTTGGGGAGGACGGAGGTGATTGGGATGGAGGAAGTGGGTGGTGGATGTGATTGGCGCTGAAATTTTGGCGGGTACCGGCCACTGGTCACTAACTTAACCCGAATCAGCCTGTGCCTCTTCCTTTCGATGATGAAGGCACGATTGCTCTGTGGGGTTTGCTGCTTGAGTAGCCTAGTAATAGGTTGGCAGGTCAGCAACTATCCAAGTTTTTTCTTAAATTGTTCTTGAACTTCTTCATAATTTTCAGATTGTTCTTAGCCGATGCCAGACAACGGCCCTGGTACTTCCAATCATTGTATAATTCTATATGGGACGATAGGCCCGGTTCCCAGCACGTGTTGCTCCCCACGAATAGATTGGAGCATTGTCCCAGTTACAAAAAAAAAAAAAAAAAAAAGGAAACTGATTTTTTTTATTTTTTATTTTTTACCTATTGGTCAGGCTGCCTGCCTGACAGTCCTTGATCCATCCTAGCAAAACTCCACCACTCGTCTCTCCTTAGAGCATGTATGCTTCTCCTCTGCCTCATTTTTTCAAGGCCATGAAAACACTTTGCGCTCCTCTTCGGACTATTCCTTGAGCACCTCAGACACACCCTCTCTGTGCGTGTGGGGGGAGCAGAGAGAGAGAGAGAGAGAGAGAGAGAGAGAGAGAGAGAGAGAGAGAGAGAGAGAGAGAGAGAGAGAGAGAGAGAGAGAGAGAGAGANAGAGAGAGAGAGAGAGAGAGAGAGAGAGAGAGAGAGAGAGAGAGAGAGAGAGAGAGAGAGAGAGAGAGAGAGAGAGAGAAAACAAGATGTTTACGCTCGGAAAATGGTGTATATCTGTTGCAGTCCTCATTTCTGCCAGGGGCGAGGTCCCTCTAGCAATCGGATAGGATATAAACGAGTTTGTGGGGCAGTTGAGTGACCCAAATCCTGCCATGCCGTACTCGTTATCCCACGGTCTGTATTTTACACGTATTACCTGAAAAAGTAAGAAGATCTTTATACCCCTCCTCCTCTCCTTAACACTGGGAATGCCCGTGCAAAAAAAGCTTCCCACCAGAATCTTTTCAATCAGTTGGGGGTGTGGCCAACCCCAAAAGAGGGTGGGGTAGGCCATAGGCCTTTTCGTTTCCGCTTTATGAGGCTGGATGGGCTGTACCGATTTTTTTGAGTGTAGGTTCTACATGAGCCCCAGTTGGTCTGTGCCCAGTAGGTTTCAAACCGCTGGCTATGTGCTTCGTGTTTCAAGAACAGGACGGAGGGTACCGTGTTTTACCAATTTGGTATTTGGGCAGACACCTATTGGGGCCCATTTTCGGGCCGTTGAGTCGGTTCCCTGAGTTTGGATTTGTAGGTAGTATTTAGGCGTTGAGTACGTAGAGTTTCGCCCTCACACAGGTCGAACGTGTCCTGTCTACCAGCGCATCTGGATGCGTCCGGAAAAACAGGAACGGGAGTGGGTCTGAGGTTGACGTCAGTTAAGGGTCGAAGGCCGGAGGAACCCCCTGAAGAAGACGACGTGGCGGCCGTCGAAACGCGGCGTTGGGGACGCTATACCTGTGCTTTTGGACATCATTGATGATTCTTACGTACTTGTTACCATGTGTACGAGTGTGTACTTGTATTTCATGTGTGACTTTGTGATATATCTATCAACTAGTGAATGCCCGTGTGAATACTCTTGGAGTTAAAGTAACCGAGAGGAGTAAGCACGTTTTCGGTGATATCGAGGTTACAACAAAACAAGTCAAGCGAAAGGAGGCTCCGGGGGAGCAGTGTTGGACAAGATGGCGAACAGTGACCAGAGAGAAGGGCATCGGGAGTCCGCCGGATATGGTGGTGGAGGTGGCTATAACGATCGTCGTGGAGTCGGATACAGCGAACGTGGGGACAACCGGCATAACGATCGCGGAGATGGGAGACATAACGAATGGGGCGGGAGCGGGGGTTACGAGGGGGCACCACGACGTAATCGGCCTACATGCTTCGCGTGCGACGAAGAGGGACACTACGCGAATCAGTGCAGGAATCCGAAACAGGGTTGGAGAGGTGCGAGCTATGCACGACCGACATCGTTAAGTGATTCCCGTCGTGGAAGATCGTACTCCCCGAGGGATCACCATCGGGGATCAAGTTCTCAGGATCGGGAAGTATGATCGCAACTACAAGAGCTGGGACAAAATCTGGCCGCCATGAAGGAATTCGTTGATCTCGAGCGCGTCAAGAAGGAAGAGAAAGTTCGTAAGCAAGAAGAGAAGAAAGAGGCGAAGAGGAGGGCAAAAGTGGAGAGACTGAAAGTAGAAGCCGCGAAAGAAGCGAAGCTTAAGAAAGCTGAGAAGAAAACGATGAAGGCACGTGCAGACGAGGAGAAGTATGCACGAATGTGCAAGGACATGCGTCTAGAGATGAAGAATGAGATGTGCGAATTCAACGATGAGTTGAGGGCTGGATTCCTGAAGATTGTCGCAGAGGAACGCAAGTTCATGAAGGGGAAGGGTACGTAACCCGAAGTTATTTCTGACGATAGCCAGTCTTCGCATGGTTACGCAAGCAGCAGCACGAAAGAACTAACTGCGCGAACATGCAAGTTGACGCTGAAGGACAAACACAAACGCGGCCCGAAAGCCTGTGTGGGCGACAGTCCGCCAATGGAAGGACCTGCGAAGCGTACACCACGACGATCGTGGATGAAGACGGGAGAAAAGAAGACGCCGAAGGTCGTTACATCAAAGGCTAGAAGACGCGTCAAGCTGTCACAAGCATCAATTAAGAAACTGGCAAGTGTCGTTAAGAGGAAGATACTGACAAGTAGCGGACTGCGGGACCGATATAAGTATCACGATGAAGAAATGGCTCGCCTCAAGCGCTTGGACGCCATCACTCTGAATAATTTGTGTAATGATGAAGGAGTCCCGTACAACGGGAAGATTGATTCGATATTCGATCTGGCAGATCACCGCACGTACATTACGTTTGGCCCAGAGAGTGACGAGGAACACGAACCTGTCGAAGAATCGGAGGAAGTGGAGGAGCCAGACGAAGGTGAGGAAGAGAAGAATGATGAAGAGGCTGCTGTGTGAGAAGACCTGGGTATTGCCGAGTACGGGTGGCTATGCAGATTTTGCATGAGACTACGTGAAGAATCCAAGACCGTGAATCCAAGGCTTGAGAAGATATTACGCCTCGTTGTGGTTATTCTGTCTTTATACGGGGAGATTCGATGGAACAGGAAGTGCCTCGATGCCTGTTATAGACTGTACGTGACCCATGGGGTAGGTTTCCTACAGCTAAAAAGCATGGTATATATCGCAGTCTCACCTATTTGTAAGTTTCAGTATATAGGTAAGACTTGTCATGACGTCAACAAACGTTGGCGCGAGCATCTTTACGCATGCAAGAACTGTACGCAGACACATCTGTACCGATGGTTGGGCAGCTTTGACATCTCCAATTATGTTTTGATCCCGATCGATACGATCGCTGGGAATGAGTTATTGCACTTAGAGGATGTGTATATAAAGCAGTGGTCACCCCACCTTAACTCGAAGGGTGTTGTGACGTTTGACACGAAGACGGGGAAATCGAGAAAAGGGAAACACGAGAGGTGTCGGGAGACGAGGACCGTCAACTCGGGTAGCCTTTGTAGTACGGTGCCTACCCACTTTAAGTGCAATGTCTCTGAGGTTTGATGTGTGAATCTCCATGATTTGCTGAATAAAAGTGATAACGACGGTGTAAGACGATTTGATTTGTTGGTTGAAGGGGGGAATGTTCGGTATCCCAAATGGAAAAAGATTCGCCGGGCGTTCGGCGAGAGTAAGTTGCTTGGACTTGCTTTTGAAAGATGCCAAACATAGACTAGAATTGGGGGGCAATTTTGTGATTACTTACCTAAGGAAGTGGAAGCAAAGGAATCACAAGTTTAAACCTATATTGGTTTCCATTCTCAGGAATCCTGAGAAGTTACGTAGTCTATATTGCTGGAAGATTAATTCACTTGTGCTTTTGTATAATGTGATCAAAGACTTCAGCCGCAAGTCTACTCGGAAATACCTTCGTAGATTGGTATCTCGGGTTGTGAGGGAACGGTTCAGTTTGAGTATGACTGCAAATCTTGTTATTAAGGTAAAATTTGACAATTAAGTTGTCGGAACTCAGGAAGGTGGTAAACGGTCGTATCATGGAATGTGATCTCCCTATTTGTTTCAAACGGCGGGCATGCAAGAAGGTTCGTATTGTCTGGAAAAAAAACTAGATAGTTACGGATATTTTGCACAATCATCGGGCTTATGCTACCCGAGAAGTGCTTACCTGTATGTGCGCAGGTTTTTCCCTACCCAGATCAAGAGGGCATGTGCGAGTCCGCCTGAGTAGCTTGTATGGAGACACACCTCTGGTACATAATGCGAAGAACATTATGAGATGCTGTGCAAAGAATCGAATCAGTGTGCTGCAGAAAGAAATTGTAGATGAATTTAAGGACTGGTATAACTGCAAGGGAACTGTGCTGACCATGAATTGCGAACACTTGACTAGTTGTTTCACTGCAGGCACTGATGAGGAGCAGAATTACCTGTCAATTGAGGAGGTTTTGGCAGTAAAGGATGATTTAGATGGCTTGGTCCTCACGCCGTTGGATCGGAATCCAGGTGAGACGCTGATTATGTGCCCTGTCACGTACTTCGAAGGGATGATGTCCACATTTGTTTGCAATCCTGGTTACAGGGTAGCTTCCGGGAGCGAGACGGATGTGCTGAACATAGCGAGAGAGGATATAGAGACCGCAGGTCTAAAACAAATTGTGAAGTGGGATGTGAGAGGGAGTATAGGATCGACATATATTCTGCCCAAGCATAAGGACTTGGACAGATATAGACCGATCTGTCCGACTTTTAAGGAACCCGCGGTCCGGACGAGACGTTTGGTAGCAAAAGGACTCAACCATTTGCTGTTCTCCACTCCCCGGCATTGGCACTTCAACATGCAAGCTGTGTCACACCTAGCGGATCGTGTGAATAGTATCAATTCGAGGATTAGTTGTTTTCGTCGATATCTCACTGTGTATGGCCTGTCGTTCGACATCAAGGAGATGTTCAGTCGTCTCCCTCACCACGAGATCCTACGTGCGTTAGATTGGTTAGTTGCATATCATACTGAGAAAGGTCGGTCTTTCGTACGGGTTAACAGACGCGGAAAGGGCTGTTCCTTTGGTAGAACGATAGGGAGCGATCAATGGCGTTTGCTACGTTTCGACGACTTGGTTAAGTTTGTGAGGTTCGAGCTGAGGCATACTTACACTTTTGCTACAGGGGTTCTTTTGAAACAGGAAATCAGCATTCCACTGGGCAAAAGTACTAGCCCACCGTTGGCTTGTATTATGTGTGCGACGTGCGTATGCCGAATATCGCTTCTTGGCAAGCTTGGGAACGGACCGAAGGCATGTGTCCGGAATCCGCTTAGTTGACGACGTTACTTTGGTCGTATCATCATTACCTATTGCCAAGGTGCAGAAACTTGTATGCTCCTTTGTATCTAGCTACCCCGCAAACCTTACCTTGAAGAGGATTGATAATGAGACTGGTGTCTTCGATTTCCTTGGCTGCGAGATGAGAATCAGCGATCATTGTCAAAAAACGAGAACTTCAAGAGTCTTTGGTCAACGGAGATACTGGAATTCCAGACCGGTCAATCCTTCAAGTCATGGGGATGTAAACGGCAAAAGAGCGCCATCGTGAGTAGTTACTTGCATAGGATTGACCAGAACACAACAGTTCGGTTGGAGATACAACTGCGGGTATTGACAGTGAAGAAAGAGATGAGATTGAAAGGTTTTTCTGGGAGTTTCGTCGACCGTATTCTGAAGCGTTTTGCTTGGAGACGCGGCGACGTTTGGGAACGTACGTACGAGTTTGTGAAGGGTATCGGTAACTAAGGGTGCAGGCAGCGGGCCGGATCGATATGGTATACAAGTAGGAGGTGAGTTGTTTTTGCGACTATGATTGAAAGTAGACGGCTCGGATCTGTATGACACGCACCTAGGGGAGTGTGCTTCTTGTTGGTTGTTTGGATCGTAAGAGATGATGTGACTCTAACGGAATGGTAGTAGTGGTAGGGGTACGTGTGAGGCATGTGTGGAGAGGGTTTTTCGAGTGTGCCTTTTCGTTTCCGCTTTATGAGGCTGGATGGGCCGATGTACCGATTTTTTGGAGTGTAGGTTCTACATGAGCCCCAGTTGGTCTGTGCCCAGTAGGTTTCAAACCGCTGACTATGTGCTTCGTGTTTCAAGAACAGGACGGAGGGTACCATGTTTTGCCAATTTGGTATTTGGGCAGACACCTATTGGGGCCCATTTTCGGGCGGCTGAGTCGGTTCCCTGAGTTTGGATTTGTAGGTAGTATTTAGGCGTTGAGTACGTAGAGTTTCGCCCTCACACAGGTCGAACGTGTCCTGTCCACCGGCGCATCCGGATGCGTCCGGGAAAACAGGAACGGGAGTGGGTCTGGGGTTGACGTCAGTTAAGGTTTGAAGGCCGGAGGAACCCCCTGAAGAAGATGGCGTGGCGGCCGTCGAAATGCGGCGTCGGGGACGCCATACCTGTGCTTTTGTACATCATTGATGATTGTTACGTACTTGTTATCATGTGTACCAGTGTGTACTTGTATTTCATGTGTGACTTTGTGATAAATCTATCAACCATAGGCGCACTGGATAGAAGATTTTCAGCATTTTACTTGCTGTTGTGCAATTATCTCATTGGGTGGATCCCTCCTTCAATCACGGAGTGTATGGAGGGTGTCAGGGTCAATGCTGACAGAAGTGGAGTTTATTCCAGAAAATGTGGCTGTTACTTTGTTCACTGTTTTTGCAACCACCATCATCAGATCATTTGTGATCTGATGGCTGGGAAGCACTCTGCCGTGATTTCCGGTGGCAGGTGTCTGTTTCTTTTTTTTTTTTTGGCCTTTTTCCTGTTTTCTCAGCCCAGAAATTCGTAATGAAAGTGTCTGGCCGCTGCCACTCAGTGTCACACTGGATCGGCCACACTCCTATCCGACTGCTAATGAGACCTCGCCCCAGGGGGATCGCGCGTTGGTGCGGATCCTGCCTTACCTGCAGCTGTTCTTTTTTTATTTTTTTTATTTTTTTTAATAAACGGGCCCAGTGCCCAAGGCTGATATTACCAATAAGAAGATTGAGGCCGGGGTCCTCACAGTCTGCCCGGGGGCAAGGTCCCACTTGCACGGATTACGAAAATCTGGCCGTCGAGCCCTGTTATCTACGGTCAGTATCCCTTAATTCGTGCAAGTGGGAGCTAGCCCCGGAGTAACCGAACCGAACTTGCTGAGAACCGGGCTCAGCGTCCCGTAGCAGGTAATACCTTTTTTTTTTTTTTTTTTTTTTAGCAGGTAATACTCTACTCTACTTCTTTCTTTTCTTCTTTTCTTCTTCATACTCTATACTTACTTCCCAAGTTTTGTCCAGTTTATCCTGTTTTATCTACTATATATGCGTTTCTCTGGGGAGAAGTACGCCCTATTACTTACCCGCTCCTCCTTCCTCTCCCCCCCGCCCCCTTCTCTCCCTTGACACAGAAAATCTCAGTACGACTCCCTCATACAGTAACTGTTTAACTGAAGTTATTCCAAGCGAATCATTATTTTCAACTCGCAGATGGAAGCTACAAGCCATTATTTTCAACTCGCAGATGGAAACTACAGGCGAGCCAAAGGTGTTTTGTATATCGCCAATTATTTGCTCGGGAAAACGAGTCTGTGTGCGCTGTTGTGTGTGTGTGGGTGTGGGTGTGGGTGCGTGTGGGTGCGTGTGTGTGTGTG